CCCGACTGGTTTCCAGATAAATTCTTGTTCACACAGGAAACCCGAAAGCTATTTTCAGCCAATCAGGATCGAGCTTTGAGTTTCTGTGTATCATCATAACAACAGTAGATCAATTTTGATTGGCTAAAAAGCCAGAAACCAGTCCAGAAACCAGTGACAAAAGTATAAATAGACTAGGGTACCCTAGTGAGGTCCTCTCAGTGTTCCGTTAGACTCTCTGGAATCGCTTCGAACACTGCTACAGATTTCTAAAACAACACTAACTGAGCAAATGGAAAAAAGATCGAGGCCAGAAATACTACCAGCACTGTTTAGATCTGTTGCTCTTGTGTCGGAATGTGGATAAACCTCTCGTGAAACTGTTCAAAGGAAATTCCTGTACTATACATTGAATTCGCCAAACAGATTCGGATTCATGCATGTGAACATTCTTCGTGCTTGGTATGTATTGAAAATAATTTCTGTTGATTTAAAAAGAATGAAAACGCTTGAACCGAATAAGTTACATATTAATCACAGTTAAGAATTGGTAATTTAAATTCGAAGATACAATTTTCTGGAATTCGGTTGCTAGCGTCATCTAACGCGGCGCATTGCCGTCCCTTGTGTATGTTAACAGTTGGCTGAATCGGCTTAACTAGTTCATTAGTTTATTAGAATCATTTTGCGGACAAAAAAAAAGCATTTAACATTTATTCAAACATTTGTTTTTTTTCAGACCGATGTTATAAATATTCATGTTTTGATTAATTATCATATGTCAATACAACATTTTTTTAGTTGGAAACTAGTCTGTAAAAATGCTAGATCCGCCCCTGGCACCGCCAATGCCATGACACATCTCACACTCTAGTTTCTTGTCACCAGTCTCTTGTACTATTTCCAGTCCCTTCTCATAATAATCAACAGCTTCGTGATAATTTTCTAAGGAAAAGGAAAAATAACCCATTCGTTCAAGCGTGATAACTTCTTCCTTTTTAGATCCATTCTTTTGTGCAATCATCATACCCATTTTTAAAGTATTTAATGACATTTTTAGTCTCACCAGCTTTTACTTTTGTTTCACCGGCAGAAATTGCCTTCAACCATTTCATGTGAATATCCAAAGTTTTCAGCATATCAAATTGGGCTTCCTGTGTTTTTAAAATGACGACGAGTATATAAACATCTCGTATCAACTTGGACTCAAAAAGTAAATACATTGATTTTAAAAGTAAAGTAACTCGTGAAAATCTTCTCAATCACAAATATGTCGAACAGAATAAATCAATCGAATTGAGTTCCTACAAATTACTTGGAACATTTCCATATAAACTAAACTGAGTTTTAAATTAGAGGCGTCATGGCCAGAAATTCCGGACATTTGAGCCCGGAACGAGTCAGCGGGTTTTCCCACCAAAATAGAGCTTTCTACAAGTGAGTTCCCTTGAGGTTTGAACTTTTGAAGATCAAATTTTCTACTCTTGTGCAACGATCCTTTATCTTAATACAATACTGGGCTAAAATCGAAACGTTCAAAACATCGACAAACGAGTATTGGGATAGCACGCTCTGATCCTTGAGTTCATTAGTGGCTTGTACGGTGGTCGTTTGGAATGTTCATAGTGTAAATAATATTGTTTGCTGGAACACACGTTCCCCTCAGGTATTTTAAACAATGATCATCAGTTGATATTGTGATCTTTTGTTTATACTTGTACATTTGTAAGGAATTTAAAAGGTCTGACATTGTTTACACTAAATAGTGTAGACTTGATCTTTCGTTCGTATTTCCCGCTATTTACCACTGCGCGCAAGGCGCCAGTAAAAACCGCCAAAATTAAAGTAGTCCTAGTCTGAAAGCCACGTTTCTAAGGTTTATTTTGGTACCAAACATGGCGTATAAAATGAAAAGAAAATGGAAGATCGAGGCCAATTATTCGCGTGAAACACGCGTCTTCGCCAGCCATTTCACCGTCAAGTTAGTTTTTGTACGATTTCTAGTACCAAAATGGACGCTGTTGATCGTCTTCAAANCGAATCCATCTATGGAATTTTTCCAATTAAAACAGATGAAATGTTATTCTCAAATATTTTTTTTGATCCATACATTTCTTTGTAAAATTTACATTCATGTTTTTATGCATTTATGCGAAGTACCGCTGCGATTGCGGGCTCAAATGTCCGGATTTTCTGGCCATGCATTCAACTGATGTCATATCGAATCACGTAGAGTGCACAATAAGCAACCACAAACAAACGAGATGAGCGTTTGGTGACGAACTTAAAGGACAACTTGCACTTTCTGATGACTTATAAAGTGTTTGTGGGATGTTTATCTAACTCAATGAATACAAAATGTCGTCTTACCTTTGTACCGAGTCCAGTCGTGACGAAATCTTATTGCACTGAATACTGTTCCTCGWTCACATACGATGYAGMGTCGATACAAGATTCTTGCACGATAATGAATCAATCAAACATCATGATATGAAGTGGTTCTTTGTCAGTCGATTTTATAGCATAGAGACAAGGTTTGCTTCTCGAGGAATTCCCGGAAAAGTTCTGTCATTTGTAATGCCGCTGTGAAAAAGTACCTGAAGTCTGGCTCAAACCCGGAAATGAATGTTTTGATTTATGTAGCTATGACGACAGGGTTTCACTTTATACATAGATTTGAATAAATCTAAGAATTTCAAAAAGTCTCTTTAAGCCTCCTGACACAAGACGAATATGATTTGATAAATAAATGTGCCAGGTTGGTAGCAACAATATGATTTATTGTGTATATCAACAATGAATGAATTGAAGAATCAATGTTTGATCATTTGAGAGATAAAATGAAAGATTTCAGTGAGTGACAACTGAAAGAGTGAAATATAGAAATAAACCATACTTTTGTACATAATGTCATTATAAACATATATATTTCACATTTTATATTTTTTTAAATATTTTTTTAAAAAGCCATAGATTGTTTCATTACATCATACATATTCATAATAATAAGCAATCCTGTAATCTTAGAATGTCGTCTCCTTTAAAGCGATCACTTTAAGTAAAATGCTTTTCCAGTTTCCGTCCTTAATTTCACTGCTTCTTATTGTTGGGATCCCTGTGTTGGTWCMTTCGCACATAATATTTTGCTGTGCACACAAGAGGACAATACATTCTATCGAACGAACTCGTTTGGTGTAAATCAAAATAATCACCTCAGAGTCAAAATGTTTTTATCACACTTCACATCATATGCTAACCTCCTTTTTGGAGCAGTAAACACAGAAAGCGCAAAATCCTTTTTCTTTCAAAATAACAGGAGAGAACGACAGTTCTAAAGGCAAGAAATTATCGTTTATCGTGGTTTTCTCTTTTCATCCGCGATCTTGCTTCCTTTCCTATGGTCTAAATTAGACCTCTATTAGAGCTGTCAATCAGAATGCAGCATCGGTTTTATCAGACCATAATTATGTTAGTAAAACTGTTGAGCAGAAGAGTACCAAGATAGCGCAGTTTTTCGGATGCCCATCTACGTGGAGAAAGCGCTGTTTAACCTTGATCAGGTAGGCATGACTGCTGGCGTTGTTGTTCTGGTTTGAAAATAAGCAGGGTAAATCGTCGCTCGCGTCACTTGTCTCGTAGCAAATGACAAAGGTGAGTTGAAGTCGCTGGCCTTCTAAATAGCGCGCTCGGACTTCATACCAGCATGACAGCACAGCGCTTGCGCTAGTTAGAAAACTACATGAGTGTTGTCATTGCAAATGGACGCTGAAGAACACGACCGAGATCAGTGACCTGTAGGGTAAAGAGCAGCGCCCAATAGGGACCTCAGTAGCTTATAGGTGCCTTTTACAATGACAGCGCTCACATATTAATTGAGGAAGTAGTGTATACCATTACTTCTATGAAGTTGTTGCCAGAAGTCTAAAGGCCCGGCCAAACGGTAAATATTGCACGATGCAACACCATAGAACATTGTTGCGCGATGCAGCATTTTCTCGTTTAGCCACCGTGTTTGAAGGTGTTGGATGTTGTTGGATGGAGCATGCAACATGTTGCACGGAGTTTGAAGGCCGTCAAA